CATGCAAGACGCTGATGAACATGTATCGGCGAGCCATCCAGCGGCACATAGGTGGTGGGAACCTCGATACAGGACGCATCTTAGCCAAGACAGCGAAGACACTCCAATTCCGAGTCGGAGGCCACTTTCGTGTAGTACTCGTAGATCGCAGAGTCCAGGAGCCCGGCGTAAGACCAGGATCCTTGAACCAGAGCAAAGGCCCCCTTCTTGGGGGCACGACTCCCGGAAATCGCTGTCTCTGCCAAGGTGCCAAATTTGGAATCGGTCTTCTCCTTGGGCCTTGGGACTTCCCAAACTTTGGCATAAAAGGCTTCCTTTTTTAAGCACAAGAACCCAGGGGTGCGGCTCGCTCTTCTCGTGTATCTGCACGACGCCATCGAGAGGGCTGACGATGCCGGTGCCCTGGAAATTGCTCTTGACCTGCAGGGACACATCAAAAGCAGTCACAGGGCACCTGACTTCTCCTCCTCCGGCTCAGATCCTGGCGTAGGTGATGTCGGTGTCCACGCCAAAAGAGATGTGGTTCACCTTCCAAGGCAGAACTTTGGAGCAACCATCATTTAAAGCAAGCCAGCTTTACGGTGCTGCCTCTGACACAAAATGCGGAGAGCTGAACGGCAATGTCACATGCCACTACGATCTACTTTTGCATAGACGCCGTGGCCTTGTGGGATATATTGAGGTTCTTGGTTTCCTGGAGCCGGAGCCACGAAGGGGAAGCACACTAGGAGATCCCTCGGTCGTCCTGGTAAAGGGATCCGAAGAGGAAAGAGTGGCTGTAGGTGGACAGATGGAGGTTCCTGGCATACGGTTGGGCCGTGGCAGCTTCGGAGAGGAACCGGATTTGCCTGGTCATGTAATCTCCTATATGTTGCAGGCTTTCAATAAGATCATGGCAGGCTTGCCCGGGAACTTTGTTGACTTTCACGAAGCCTGGCACAAAGCAGTCGGCTGAAGCACCACCATATGTCGGGTCCACAGCTTCTGAGCTCCCCATCACCCTCAACGCTTTGACTTTCCTGCTAGGCCTCGTATACGGCAGCCCTCGCCGCTGTTGATGCTCTTGCGGAGAGCATCAACGTCCTCGTCCAAGGGCTTTGTCCAGCAGAACGCGGCCAGATGCTAATACAGCCAAACACAGAAGGTGTGGCCGTTCTTGATGCGTGCACACAGGCAAAGCCGAGTACTTCAAATCCACTTGCGTCGACATCATCTTCTTGTCCGGATTGCACGAAGACATCATGACACCCTTATAGGCTGGCAGATGAGGCGACCCTATTCCAGGTGGCCTGTTCTGGCATGGGGGCTGGCCTGGTTGCCATAGCCTAAACTGTAGTGCCGAGAAAGAGTGGATGACGCGCCGAAGTGGCTCGACCTCGACAGTCTCATCTCCTACTAGATTTCTCTCCTCTCACGGAGATGCACTGGGTCATGAATGCTCAACTGCCAGCATGGCGTACAACATCCTAGTCGCACTCAGTCTGCTGACACATGAGCTACGCCACGTCGGGTCTATCTACCTAGCTAGCCAGTGTGATCTCTTCGTCATCTAGGAATTGCCAAAGCATCAGAGGTTTTTGTAGTGCTTTGCAGAGCTAATCAAGCTCAGCGGCTTGATCTCCTGCGTACCTATAAGATCTCCTTTGGATGTAAGGCGGTCCTGCCCAGCGATGCGATTCCAGTCTCACTCAAATATTCCCTTGCGAACAACACGGTGACTTCAGCTCAAGCCAAGCCGCGTCCGCAGAAGCTCTTGCAATCCCCCTATGCTGGCCCTCGACCCAGGTTGAAGTCACCACCCGTCAGCACTGAGCATCGAGTGCTCCTTGAACAGGTTGCCGTGAGCATCAACCTTCACAGATGTCTATGATATCTAAGGTTTTTTTCGCCAGGTTTAAAAACTCAGAAAATACTCTGTAGAGTTAAAAAAGGGGTAGCCTCGTGGCTTCCCATGACGTCCTGCGCATCGAAGGAGAGTAGCCTCGGTCGTTTGAGAGACTCCAAAACTCCCTTTTTTCGGGAAGCTCAGAGATGGGCTCAGGTCTTCTTTAAAGGAGAAGGGGCTCACAAGGCATAGAGGACATCGTGATGTCCAAGTTGATCTGCAGCTTCTCCTCCCAGCTGCATTCGGATGTCAGAAGGCACAGATTCCATTTGGCCAAGCAAGAGGAGGTGAAGCGTCTGTGCAACCTGTCCTCGGTCTTGCTCTCCTCTATTACCATTTCACTTTCCCATCGCCGCTGGATGAGCACCTCGCTTCAACAACAAGCATACGTTTTTGCCACATTCACGGCCCCCTCTGTCACCACCCGGAGTCTACATGGGTGTGATGTTTCGAAAGAATCAACCCTTGGAGGACAAACTCGGAAAAAGCATTGCCTCAGAGGTAGGCACAGCGCAGAGGCTGGCTGAGGCGACGGCTGTAAACTCTGCAAAGAAGAGATAGAGCGCCACGAGGACCTGATGCAAAGAACCCTTGTGAGCTCTTCCACACTGTCGACCGGATTCTGTTACAGACACTCTTTCGCCTGAGGCTCCAGGCAGTGAATATAGACACTAAGGCACCACTCAGCGTCGGTTCCGTGAGGTCCCGCGGCACCTGGAGAGCGAAGGCAGCTATTTCTCTGCTAGGACTGGGCGAGTCTGTGTCCGCATCCCCTGCAGGCGTGGCCTTCCGGTAGAGATCGAGCCGCGAGAGCGCCCTCATTGCCCCTGTACGGACACAGACGAAGAATGGACAGACTCCCGTCCATTTGGAAGGAACTCGAAAGCTCAGAGGTTTCGATCTAACGCACAGTGACACAGGGCGAAAACGCATTTGCTCCCAGGCCTCGTCACTCTCAGCAAGGCAGCATGAGAAGCATGCTGGAAGGATTGAGATGTGGTGTTGGGCGATAGTGCTGGTGTTCTACGGCTGTTTAAGGCCTGGTTCAAGACGCTGCTTCACAACCCATGACAACATAGCTCGTGAAGAACCTGAACTGACATGCACCTGCTTAGGATGGACTCAGATGTTCCTTGAAAGCTCGCAGTTTGGTAGCACGGGATCTAGTTGTGCCTAGACGTGTGCTACGAGCAGGCCCTGCGAACAAGTGAAGTTACGGTGTTGCCTGGAAGCGGACTGGTCCGAATGTTCCCTCGCGGGCACAAGCTCGGGCCGGAGAAGCTGCACCCAGATGCGCTGCGACTGCGACGGCAACGGTGACGACCATGCGTACAATACCAGGACCAGGACGACGAGAAGTCGCTGCAGTTTGACCTAATTTTCATGGTTTTGTTTCGTCAGAATCAAGCACCCTGGCACAGCACCGAGCTTTTGACGGGAAGGAGTCAGTCACACCCCCACTTGCATCAGAGTTGTGATGCTCGGTGCCTCTGAGCAGTACGCCTCCACTGTCTCAATGTCTATCTGCTCTCCCTGCTCCTTCAGCACACTGGTCACTGAAAAAGTCTTAGTGAGGTAACCAGCTTGGTCTCCTCAAACTCGGATGCGATGGTGGTGGCAGTCTTCCGCTGGCAGACTCGCATCAGCCATACCTGGCAAACCACAAGCTTTCTTCCTAAACAGAAACGTACATTTCAAAGAATATCAGGTGAAGCAGCAGACGACTAGCACCCCCACACTTCTGCTGGCGCTGAGGAGCCACTGTTCTGCCCCTACCTGCTTCTTGAGGAAGAGCTGCCAATCTCCGTTGCCCTGTCTAAAGACATGTGGATCGTTCACGCAGACAAAGATCCACGGAGATTGACCAATTTCCAACAGCCGTCACAATCCATAGAAGCTGTCCAGGTGATGAGCTCACAGGCAATATGTAGAGACTTTCGACCGAGTCTCATGTTACTGCGACACGAAGTTCCTAAAACTGTACCCCTCGCGCTTGCTGAACAGCAAGGTGTGCCAGTCTGATTCCAGTAACATTGAGGGAGAATTCCGATCCAACAGTCAAGCGGAGTAGCCTGGCTGTAACCACAGCCATTCACAACCACCTGAGCAAAAAAAGCTGCGGGAAGTCCGTATGAAAAGAATGGTAAGTCGACATGCTTGAATGCACACTACTGTACATGATTACGGCACATGGCACTGAGATCTTCGCCCAATCACATGCATCAATCGTCAACGGATCCACTTGGGGCTTGCCTGATGAAGCGGCAAGCTGCGAAGCTGTGTTTGGGGTCGTGTGAGAAGTCTTACACACAGTCCGCGCCTTTTGGTGATCGGTACTTGGCTGTCTTCATCGTCACCGAGTGCTTAGCCTGACTCTGCATCCCACAATGGGCAACGAACGACCGCGAAAAAGCCTGACTTCCGTACGTAGCATCGTCTGGTAGCTGCCGACCCTACTACAGGCCTCGTGAGAATGTCCGAATTCCCTCTGAAAACACTCCGCCACGCGCCTTCCTAGCTGCCCTAGCTCGAGGAAAGCGAGCAGGACTGGAGCTGGGTCCACAAAGTCACAAACAAAGCCTGTCTGTGCTGAGCTCAGTATCTTGTCTGGTCGTCTCCTTGTTGGCATCCAAATGTGTTGTTCTTTGCTGCACAAGTCAAGTTCTCTATGGCTGCGGACGAAGCATTGCACCACGTCTAACAACCTTCATGGGCCAGCCAGTTAGCAATGATGGACAATCTGCAGAGATACCAGCGCTGTAGCACCGGATGAGTCCAGAGTCAGCACAGCATAGCACAGCAAAAGAATTATCATCTCGCCGCGAGGTCGCATCACTCCAGGGGGGCAAATGCCCATCTGCACTATTTTTAAAGTGAGGAATAGATTATCCCCTCTGTCCTGTCCACTTGGTGGCTCATGGGAGTGCCGGCCAGCAGGGACCGGTAGGGATTCGCTGAAAAAGAGGGCATTGGCCTAGGGCGTCTGGGAAGCCTGGGAAGGCTTCACGATCTTTGAAAGGCCTGAGAAATCTCAGAAAACCTCCTGCAGTGAACCGAGAACCTGGAGTCTGCCTCCCGCTGCTCCATTGCACGGGGCAACGCATTGCGGAAAGACTCAGGTTGCGACCTCAGTTGCGATGCTGCAATCGCTTCAGCCAGTAATTAACTGTTCAGGCATATCGCTCCCGCAAAAAGAAAGCTGGCTGTGTCTTCTGTAGATACTTCTCTGCACCGTCAAGAAAGTCCCCGTGTCCCAGCAAAGCAGTAGACTACAACACGTGAGACCGTGAGACATGTTTCCATGTTCTTATGCAGCTCGCGCACAATAGTCATTCTGGTAGTGATGCCACCTGCAGGGAGAAATGCATGCAATCATGCTGCTACAAGTAGTGATGCATGCATGAGGCGAGACATCGGGAAAATCTGCGGGCCTACTCAACATGCTGAGCGTATGCGGATCGAAGAGCTTCAACCCCTTTCAACCCTTCTGCCTTCCGATTCTGGCTTGAACACCTCACAGAGCCGTGCCCACGTCACTCTGAAACCATGTGCAGTCTGTGGTCTGTAGATGTCTAGCCGGCGACTCTCCACGGTAAGGAAACGAGGCTGGACGGACGATGGCCTTGCGCACCGTCCATGTAAATTGGCGGTGGGCTTTGTGCTGAGCCTGCACCAGGGAGGGAGGATGACTGATGATGACTGGCAGGAATTGATGGCTCTACAAGTATGGTGTCAAGAGTAAGCACTGTGCTGCGGGACGGCCGGTAGTCTTTTTCACAAGAGGACCCGGAATGACTTTCAGTTCACCAGAGTGCACGAGATCTCGGAGTTCAGACAGCGAGTTTACGTGAGCTAGACATTCATACAACTTTCTGCTCCGCGAAACAGTACGGGCAACAAAGGGCGGAACAAAGAAACGAACTCGTACGAGCCATCCAATTTCAGCATGCCGACACAAGCACAACTCCCAGTCTAGCTCTACATGTTTTCTAGCCCCACTAGGGGCCACCTTCTCGATGGCTTCCATGGCAATGGAAGCCGTGAATGCCCCCTGGAACTCAAGCTTGACCTCTGGTGGGACTGTGCGGCGCTCGCAGGGGGGAAAGAAGGAACGAGCGAGAGAGAGACGGAGAGACAGAGAGACAGGAAGAAGGAGAGACAGATGGACAGAAGAGAGAGAGAGAGAGAGAGNNGAGAGAGAGAGACACACAGAGAGAGAACAAGCGAGCGAGCGTGTTCTTGGTTTTTCTGGGCTAAGCTCAGGGCCGTTCGCTTCAAATTGTTGCCGGCGACATCCACAAACTTGCTCATAATCTCGAGGCAGGAACAAGCAAGGAAGGATTCGACTGAACTGCCAGACTGCGTCATCCCTTGCTATTTTTTGCCGTGCTCGGTAAACTTGTTACTGCGTGGACACTGCAAAGCACTCCAGGGTCAGCACTGCGGATCCGAGCTTCGTAGAGTTCGTTGTCTTCGAAACCCGCATCTCCTGGCTACGCAGCTCGTCACGAAGCCCAAGTCCTGAGCCTTTGACCTCAGCGTCAGCATCCGCGACTGGCTGGAAGTGCTGGAGCACTCGCACCCTGGCCGTCATCAGGCGCACTTGGCGGCTACCGGCAGTGGTTCCTTGCAGCGAAAGCATGCAAAGGCTTGGCTTGGCCTCATTTTGCGATCACGCTGGCGCAGCAGAAACTGTGCCTGAACAGGGGCAACAAGGCAAAGTCTGCTTGGTCTCGGAATGAAAGCTTGGGTTCGCACCGCAGGTCGAAACTCCTGGGGCATCTCCGCGATCGCATACCTGTCTTGACTTTGCCAAGCTCGCATAAGCTTGCAAGTCAACCCAACTCAGCCGGCAGGTTCACTGAAAGGTCGTGCTGTGCAGACGACAAAGCTTTGCATGCTTTTCAGCTGCTCCTATGCACCAATAACCTTCGGAACGACTGGCTACTACACTTTCTAACCGTTGACTAGATAGGAAGCCCAATACATCACTGCCGAGAGGGTGCAGCATGGTGCTCCTGTTCCGCGGCGATAGTAGAACAAGATCTGCAGCCTCACGGGTCAACGTTGGCAAGCCACGACTGTGTCAAGCTTCGGGCAGATCATCTTGTCTAAGACAAGGAGACGGCAGAATGGTGCTCTGGGTTCCCTGGGTTCCCGGCCCTTTCTCCGGTGTTGAAAATCGCAACCATCGCCTCTGCTGCGGCTCAGGAGACTTGCATAGACTTGCGACTTGAAGCAAAGAGCAAGCGCCGCCGCACCTTCCGGCCCGGGCTCTTTCTTAAGTCTTAAGACGTACCTTATGGCTTCTGCCGGTATTTCGAGGACTTGCCAGCCTCGTAAAAATCTGGAACGGAACTAAATCTGGAGTCGCACAGCGGTTGTCGGCAACCAGCTGGCAGAGGGCTGAAGCGAGACATGGCCGCGGCCCTGTACAGTCCACATGATCGCCTCTGAACAAGGTGTGGCGGTATACTCTTTTCGTACTTGTTTTCCACTGTGCTAAAGTGATGTCAGGTTGATTCTTTCGGGTACAGCTCCACCTGGCATCATGGGGTCTCACTTACCCTCAAACTGAGTCCTAGTCTTGGTCCGCATGCTGTACATAGCAGGACCTCAACACCCATGCAAAATCTGATGTCCAGACGACATCAGTCTGGACTCGCAAGCTTTCACAACTTTGCGTATCCATGCTCATCAGTCCGCTGCCTCTTCAAAGTGCTCACCACATCAAATTCCCAATCGCCTCTGCCACCGGTGGCCTTCCAGTCGATGGTGACGGAACTTCCAGCTGGCAGCTTGTCTTCCAGGACTAGGGTGCTGAGACGTGAAACCAGATGCCGCTCCATGTAGCGCTTCAATGGCCGGGCACCCATTTCTGGGTCGTGAGCTGCCTTCAACACTCGGTCCACTGCTGCGTCGGTGATGTGCATGGTGACCTCCAGCTCGTCCAACCTGCGGACCACGTCGGCGAGCTGCAGTCGCACAACCTGGCGGAGAACGTCGCCGCTGAGAGGGCTGAAGACAATGACATCGTCCAGGCGATTCAAGAGCTCTGGTCTCAGGGATCGCCTGATGGTCTGCAGCACCATGGAGCGTGCCTTCTCCAGGGCAGGTCCGTGCCTGCCAGCATCTCCGGCCATAGCCATGAGGTGCTCAGAACCGAGGTTGCTAGTCATGATCACGACGCAGTTCGTGCAGTCCACCGTCCTGCGATGAGTGAGCTGAGGCAGTTGGTGTTTGCTCTGAACCACTGAAATGCAAAGCGTCCTAGGTCCTGAACCTTGAAGGTTTTGGTGTGCTAACGCATCTTAAAGTGCATGCTCAAGCCACAGCCGGCTTTTGTCCATGTCAATGCATGCTCGCCGTCCTGCCGTGGCTGTCGGTGATCCGGCCATCGTCGAGCAACTGCAGGAGTACATTGAGAACTTGCGGGTGAGCTTTCTCCATCTCATCGAAGAGCACCACACTGTAGGGATGCCGGCGCAGAGCCTCAGTTAGCTGGCCACCAGCTTCATGTCCCACGTAACCCGGAGGGGCACCGATGAGCCTCGAGACCGCATGCTGCTCCATGTACTCGGACATGTCGAATCTGATCATCCGCGCCTCGCTGTCAAAGAGCTCTGCGGCGAGAGCCTTTGCCAGCTCAGTCTTTCCCACGCCCGTAGGCCCGGCAAAGAGAAAGGAGCCCGTGGGCTGGTTCCGACGCGCGAGGCCGGCGGCGCTGCGCAGCACGGCGCGGGCCACAGCGGCAGCCGCCTCCTCCTGTCCGATGACTCGTTTCCTCAGCTCCGCCTCCAGACTCAGCAGCCGGGCCTTCTCCCCCTGTGAAAGCTTGGATACCGGAATGCCTGTCCAGCGCGAAACGACCTCGGCGATGTGGCCGGGTGTCACGGTCTCCACCAGCAGTGGGCTCTCTGTCGCATCCTCCTGCTCTTTCTTCTTTGCCTCGAGCTCGCGGATGCGTTGCTGCACCCCTGGGATGGCATCATAGCGGAGATCTGCGGCGGCGTCGACATCGTGGCGTGCCTCCATGACCTCCAGCTTCCTCTTCAGATCCTGCAGCTTCTGCTTCGCCTTGCGCAAGTCATCGATGAGCTCTCGCTCCTGCTGGTAACGCGCCCGCAGCGGAGCAAGCTGCTCAGAAACGCTGGATAGCTCCTTCCGTGCCTCTGCTAGCCGTGTCTTGGAGCCCTGATCTTTCTCCTTGCTCAGTGCTTTAACCTCTACTTCGAGGTACTGTCGGCGGCGCTCCAGGCTATCGATGGCCTCGGGTTGAGAGCTCAGCTGCTGCACACGGATCTTGGAGCAAGCTTCATCAAGCAGATCCACGGCCTTGTCGGGAAGAAATCGGGAAGTGATGTAGCGACTGGACAAAGTCGCAGCAGCAACGAGGGATGCATCCTGGATGCTCACGCCGTGGTGGGCTGCATACCTGTCTTTCAGGCCCCGAAGGATGGTGATGGCAGTCTGCACCGACGGCTCTTCCACGTGGACCTGCTGGAAGCGTCTCTCCAAGGCAGCATCCTTCTCAATGTATTTTCGGTACTCGTCCAGAGTCGTGGCCCCGATACAGCGGAGCTCGCCACGAGCCAACATCGGCTTCAGGAGGTTTGCAGCATCCATGGCCCCGTCTGTCTTTCCTGCACCTATCAGCAGGTGGGCTTCATCGATGAAAAGCACAACCCGTCCCTCTGCGTCCTTCACTTCCTGGAGCACAGCCTTTAGCCTCTCTTCGAATTCGCCTCGGTACTTGGCACCGCTGATCAGCGCACCAACATCAAGTGCGATGATGCGGCAGTCCTTCAGCGCTTCGGGAACATCCCCAACCACTACACGCTGTGCCAAACCCTCTGCAATGGCTGTCTTTCCAACACCTGGATCTCCAACCAAGATGGGATTGTTCTTGGTCCTGCGGGCTAGAACCTGCACCACCCGCCGGATCTCGTCATCGCGGCCGATGACCGGGTCGAGCTTGCCGTTCTCCGCATCGGCCACGAGGTCCCTTCCGTACTTCGACAAGGCCTCGAAGTTCTCATCGGCAGTTTGGCTGTCCACTTTCCGTGATCCTCGGACTTCCTGTATGGCCTTCTCCACCGCCGAGATGCTGTAGCCTGCCGAGGACAAGACCTCTTTCAAGGACTTCTGCTTCAGCAGTGCAAGGAAGAGGTCGGGCAAGCTGAGATAGCTATCTCCACCGGCCGTCCTCAGGCGCTCTGCTTCGGCAAGGACCCCACGCATGGCATTGTTCGGAGAGATCTCCTCTGGCGCTGGGCTTTGGGAGCTGAAGCTGCCCAGAAGCCTGTCGCAGCCCTTCACCACCTCTTGGCTGTCGCCATTCAAGCGGGAGAGCACTTGCGCTGGAAGGCTGCTCCGCTCTTTCACGAGGATGCTGAAGACATGGGCCGGGTCTAGTTGGAGATGACCCCTCTCCCGAGCCAAGCGAACGCCATCCTTGATCGCCTTGCCGGCCATCTCCGTGAAGTCACCTCCACCCGACATCTCGCGAACAAACGAATTGAAATGGGCGCCCAAAGGCTAATGATCGGAATCCAAACTGACGCGCAAAGATCTGAGCCAAAGTTGCTTTGCAATGCCCTCTTCTCCCTGGGCTTGCCTCGTGGTCGAGTCTTGGACTAGCACCGCTCTGCTTGCAGTCACGGCACACCCTTGAGCTTCTTGGCTTGTGATGTGCTGGTCACGTTCAGCTCCTCGTGCTAGGGAATGAGGCACGACCGAAGCAACCCACGCTGGAAACCATACCCCTGTCCTGGAACAAGGGAGTCACTGATTCAGGTGCCGGAGCCTGCTGAGACACGTGAGAGACTCCACTGAAAGTGTCTGAAACCTCCTCGGTGCAGGCCTCAACCTCGGCTTCTTCGGTCTTGGGCTCTGTTGTCGCTGAATCGCCTCCACTGTCACATTATGTCATACATCTTTGCCACACATGTCTGCGACCCATGAGATTCAGATTCGGCCTTCTTCCTCGGCAAATCGAGGGATATGACTCAGCGGGTTCCTGTGGATCTGTGATCGCACACTGTAAGTTTCTGACGGAACCCGTGTCACAAACGTCCTGGCTGCCGGCATCAGCCTCGAAGAAGACGAAACCCTCAGTTGACAAGACAACAGCATGGACAGACCCAATGAACGGTGCGGTGCTGCCTTCATTCATGAAAAGTCCCGTCGAGAATTCTGTCAGAATTTCAATTGCATGCTGCCCGTGGCAGTGTGCTGAGAAATCTGAGAACATGGCTGGACGAATAGAGTTCGTGTACGGAGCTGGCTTGCCGCCAGCACGATGCCCTCAGAAAAACGTCGTTGTTTGACAGAGTCTTGTGTCGCCTGCCTTGTTTGCAAATTGCCGGGCATTGGTGCCGGCAGCTTCCCATGTGCGCTGACCGAATTTCCTGAGCAGCTGACCAAGATTGCCAGCAGGCGCGAGCCTCGACAGGTCCAAGGCATCCTACTGCTTGGTACAGTAATTAAGGGTTTAGGATTTAGGGTAACACCGCATATTGATAAGTGCAAGCCTGGAGCAACCGAACAGAGATCTGCTACCGATGCTTAGAAGACGTGCCTTTGGAGTGCAGTGGCGCTTGCAAGCGAAGCTTCTAACGCAGCTCTCAGGAGATCGTGGTGCCCCAGCTGGCCTGAAGGGTGTCTGCGGCCCGCCATCGGGCTTGCCTCATTGACACTCCCCGCGATGCACATGCACTTAAGGCGAGCACCAGAGCGACATACCGACGAGTGAGTCTAAGCAGTGTGCTGGGGTCGAATCCTGTTGACGCTGACGCAGGGTCTCGACTCGGGTCGGTCCCCGTTATGTGGTTGATCCCAAGTGCTGAAAATTGCAGCTGCTGTTGCTCTACGATTGAGGCGCTGGAGGCCACTAGTGGAAGCGATGCCGGTGAGAGATACAAGCATGAAGCATGCTCTTGATCGTCTAGCTTCGAACCGAACGCAACATTTGCAGCTGGGCTGCTGTCGGAATCTCTTGTGTTCCCTCAGGCGCTAGTTGAATTGGGAAGCCAGATACGCAGAACGTCGAACCTAACGTGTCATTTGCGGATTTCAGAAACATACGGCCAGGAGGTCTTGACTATGAAGTCACTGCTGGCATCTATGCCCGTGGTTACACGTAATTGTCCCCGAAACCCTTCACAGGCCTCCCCCTTGGGTCCTTATGAGCAATCCAGAATCCACTCTGCTTTCGAGGCCTTCGAGGCAACCCCAAGGCAGCCCTGGTCTCCTAGAGTAATAGTAGTAATAATAAGTATTATTGTTATCATCATCATAATCATAATAATAAGAATAATAGTATTAAATATAATAAACAATAAGACCCCCCGGCTGCACTGCGTGCAAGCAGCGGACGTTTCCAAAGGCAGATTCGACAGCTCTAGGAAGTGCTCATGCAGCTTGCTCTACCACGCTGACGGTTCGACATAGATTCATATCCCGTTTCTGGCAAGCACGGAAGAGCAAAATGCACTGCGCTCATCTCCCAGAATGCTGCACCCCAGGCCCCTCACTGCCATACCTAACAGGCCAAAGCAACTTTTGCTGTCGTTCGGCTTCGGTGAGGCAGTGCGTATGGTGCGGATGTCATGAAAGCATATGAAGGCTTTGTAGATGGAAGAGAGCAGGCGAGTACTCTGACCCATGCAAGTTCCAGCCTTGGTCCCCCAATCCCACCCCATCGCGGTTCCTTGGTGCCGTGGAGCGTTGCACGAAGTACCACAACAACTGCTGCGAATCAGAAGCCTGTTTTTGCAGCAAGCTGAGCTGAACGCTCCGGAACCCATCGAAAATGCTGAACGCAACCTCGAATGTCCTCCGAGCAGGCGAGCAGCCCAGGCCATGTTAGATTTTGCTCTGCCATGGGAAGGCCAACTTCGCTGCCCGCTTGTGTTGTATCCGGCAAGAGGTGCATATACCCGCACTGAACTCCTAACCACCAATTCCTAAGCACCAGAGCCTTTTTGCCATGCTGTCGTTCATCATTGTCATGTCGGTCTAATCCCATATCGTGGCACATCCGGAACCTAGGCTTCTGGCCCACCTCCTTCTGCGGGGAGGCTCGCAGGCTTTGTCGATTGACATGCCTGACAATACACTGCACACGTCTGTCATAAGGTGTAGCAGTCTAGCACCCTTTTACGACACGTAGTATGCCGCAGGAAAGACAGCAATGTTGTGGCATACTAATAGATATAGCGTATACTCTGTTGCGTAGGTTTCTATCCATACATACATACATACATACATACATGCATGCATGCATGCATACATACATGCATACATGCATACATAACATACGGATATGTTGATTTACATGCATGAATATGTACATGCGTGTGCATATCTCTGCATATGCATAGGCCGGCATGTGTATACTTGTGAAATCCTGTGAAGAACAACATACACATACGTACACGATCGTATACATATATGGGTAGTTTTCTCAATTAGGGTCCCTTTTTGGATCCCCAAGACAGTACGCACCCTCAAAAAAGGACCCTAATGAGAACTACCCATATGTGATCATATGTGTATGCGTGTACAACGTACACGTCTAGAAGCCAGGCCTGAAGCGAAACTGGAGGCTTCACAGCCTCAAGCAAGCCCTCGCTGTCCAGAGGTGCTGGACCTGATATAAGCTGCGATTTCTAGACGTTGAGTTCGGGACAATCTCAGTCTTGCAACAAGTCAAGCAAGCAAATAACTTTTGATTCCAGAACTAGATCAAGCATGAAGAGAACGCTTGAAGCTCAAAAGAACGATTCGACATTCCTCGCCTCGACCCCCGAAGCGAGGAGCCAGGGCGGCCTGCTCCTCAACACTCCAGAAATGCTTCCAAGTGCTTCAGCTGCAGCCCAACTGTCAATGCGCGAGACAAACTCCAAGCTGGCAGGAATCCTCGAGCAGCGCGACACGTGCATCTAAACTCATCACCTGGGGCATGAAGAAGGAAGGAGGCTGCGCCAGTCTTCCCTACAAACGCTTCAAGCTAACTCTGTGTGTCGAGCCTCGTTGTGGACGATCCGAACCTGCATGAACCGACCGCAAAGATCACTGATTACACACGCCTCTTGTATGCTTTTTGTAATTTGTCGAGCGAGCTGGTAGGCCCGCAGTTGCATTTCCTTTTTGGCGTCGGCGCCTCAAACTTCTGTCGTTCCGGCTTGCAGGGTGGGTGGGTGCTTCAGTGCTTGCGACCAACACAGCTCAAGTGGCGTACCGAGCATCCTACTCCGTGGCTGCCTCTTACACTGGCATGCCGGCTCGTGTTTCGCCATAACGACTCCTGCCTCTCCAACGACTTCCACGGGTTTCTCATGTTTGCTCTGGCAAATACATTGAGCAAGTAATCTCGGTTCGCTGTCTCTCGCCTGACCCCTTTACCCCAGACGAACGTGTTGGGTGATCTGTTGCACCATGTTTACTCTTCTCTCTGGAGAGGGCAGGTGTAGCAGCCGTTGCTCGAAGAGCTCGGCAGACTTTGCCGTCAGCGGGCTGCTGCTGGGTTCTACAAGAAATCTTTCCGCTTCGCATCCAAGTATGCTTTCAAGACGATGATTATGCTGGGGGCCATGTTCATGATAACCCGGATGAGGTTGCTCGTCGTGTTGCCGTTGTGGTGTTGCTGCAGCAGTTGCTTCGTCTGACGCTGCTGGCTACACCTGCATAAAATACAACCTTTTTTCCGGAGCCGAGTCTAACAACGTGATTGAAAGTGTGGGAAACAGTGAAACCCTCAAGAGACGCAGAGCTTGGAAGATTGAAACTAGTTAGCCGTGAGCCTGGTTCTCGCGATATGCGTTTCCCCACACCTTGAAGCACATTGCCTCGAAACATCTCGAAACACCTGTCTACGGTGCCCTGCAGACGCCCGCTACTACTTTTGGACCACTGGCACATAAGGATCCTTTCCTCACGCTTCGGCCTCGTCGCGCAGGTGGGCTTGGAGTCGACCTACAGTACAGAAAGGTGGAAGAGCACACCTCCGAAGTAGTAGCTCAACAGCTATAATAATGAAAATACCTAAAATGAAGATACCAAAAGCTGATGCTGATGATAATAATAATCAACCTACAAACCGAGGAGAGCAATAAACTGGCAGGACATCTCGACCACAGCCGACCACACAAACTAAGCCGAGGCTCAGCGGTGCAGCAATTCCGGACATCTGTCTGAAGTCTCAGGCGTTGTCTTTTCTTCGCAAACCGTGCTGTTTGATGTGTCCATCTATCTGTTCAGCTTGGCGGCTTCAACATGCCAATTTGCATCGCAAATCTCTACAGCAACAGCTACGCGAGCATCAGAAGTGGGGCGTGCCAGGTAAGCTGGCGTGCGAACTTCACAGGGCTATTTCACAAGCACAGCCAGCCGTAGGCTTTTGCCCGGCGCAGCATCTAAAGCAGCTCCCTGCTCATATACAAGTTAGAAATGGTACAGCGGCCCTGTTTACAGGTGCTCGGGGAAGGCACTCGCCCGTGACTCCTCTATGACTGGAAGTTCCCCAAAACACAAATCCTGAAGCGGCAAAAGATAATGACAAGATTTTGAGGCGCCCCCCCCGACTGGCCTGGCTAGTGTTTGAGTCTGTACGAGACACTGAGAGATGGAGACGTGAATGGCACTGGTCCGCTGGGCTCCATTCCGGAGAGGCATCTGGCCTGCATACCTCAGGGACCCCGTCCCAGAGAGAGCAAGCAAAGTTTCGTGCCCTCATAGGTCCGAATCTCTCCATAATTCCATAATGATACAACCACCACCATGATACGCACGTTCTAGCACAACTTGGCTGCCTCCACTCGAATGTCTACCCATGTGCACGGGGAGGACATGGCCAAGCATGACTTCGCCGAGCAGCACAAAATCTCTGATAGCTGCCCCTTTGCCGAAATGCCCACCTGCAATTCAATCGAAAGATAAAGAGGGTTGCGAGTATCAGACCCAGACCTGCCTCTCTCTGTAAGGTCTGTACACCAGCAGGCAAACCCAGTGCGAACACCTGAGCAGCTGGCGGCCAAGGCTTGGAACTCTTGGGACAAGCGAGACAAGCTGGGGCCCTGGCGAAACAAGATTGCGCAGCGAAGGCTGCCTGGGGATCAACTGCTCGAAGGGACTCGAAGGCCAGGGTCAGGGCTTGGGTCATCCGCGCCTTTTGTTGCTGATCCAGAGATTTGACAACCTCGGCTACAGCACTCACAGCCGACCCAGGTCAAACAAGATACCGCCATGCGGAGCCCTAAACAGCCGGAAAGTGCACATCGGGTGGGGTCGAGAGTCAAGTTGTAGGTGCCGTGCCACGTCTGACGTCACTGCTGCGCCCCTGTCTCCTTGCAAAGGGCACAGAAGCTGCGACAGAGGAGAAGCAGACCAGCCGAATGCGCGCTGTTTGGAGGCAAATGCTGCGTGGAATTTTCTGCCCACATTCTCGTCCTTATTCAAATGAGTCAGGATGTGCTTGAACACCTCTCTGGGGTCCTGCGTATGAGTGTGGTGTTGAAATATGTGTTGAACATGCTCCTCCGCACAAAAGTCACGCATCGGGGACTTGCCAAGCCTCTCTGCCACCGGCTGCACCCCCCCTGCAGGCCAAGGCCATGGTTGCACAGTCGGTGTCTTGTCAGCGCAACGGGGAAGAGTGCCATCATTTAGAACACTAGCTACACTTTAATTAGCTTGCAGGCAGCATCGGCATGTTGAGCTCCAAGCGTAGTATTCAACTGGTTCTCCACGTTCCGAATTGCCTGCGAGGACATACATCATGCTTCGAGATGCAATGGAACAAGGGGCTTTTTTTGAACGGAGAGGTGTTTGGAATTCCACCTGGCAGAGGGCAGGCCACTCTTCCCCACGAGTGTTTTCCAGCATCTTCTGGACCTGGCCAATGCTTTTGTTGCGTTTGCTCACTTGAGATTTCGGGTCACATTTTCAAGCTGCACAGAAACGATTCGCAGTCGGGAACAGCTAAGATTAAAATGGCCAGCCTAGCCTCTTGGCAGACAGCCACATCACAGCTGCAGGCTGTGCTAGACTGATGCAGGCAAGCGATTCTCTGCATACTGACCGGCCATCCGGCCAATCGTCTGATGGATGCGAAGTCGCGGAGCAAGGACTGCGAACTCCTGCGGGCAACAAGACAGCCCTTCTCGATCCACAGAATTACATTCTGATGAGGATGAAGTCTACGAGTCCACAAAACACTTTCTTCCCAAGTGCCTGCGGAAGGAGCTTTCCATCACGATCGAAGTCAGCCTCCGCGAGCCATCTTTTTGCAAGTTGTGCTGGCGTCAGTATGCGGGTTCCAAACCACCCGAAAGGCCCCCGAGGCTCACGAAGCACGTCTGCAGAAGTCACCCCATGCTCCAGGGCCAGCGTGACCCATCGAAGCAGCTCAGCGCTGGTAACCAAACCATCCCCATCTGCGTCAACAACTCGGAAGGCCAAGTCTGCCAACTGCGGCGTATCTAACGGAGCACCTTGCACGGTTGCCAGCAAGAGCAGCGCTCCGCGGATAAACTCGAAGGCACCAATGCTTCCGTTCTGATCAAAGTCCAGAACTCGGAAGACGGCTGGGACCACGTGCTTGGTGAGCTCGCGCACTGCTTGGGCGCGTGCTTCAGCAGGAGCAGCAGCCTTTCCTCGCGACAGGCTGTGTGCCTCCAAAACCAGATCCTCGGTATCTGAGTATTACAAAGCAAAATGCCGTGTTTGCATTACCCAATGTCTCCGAGCATCGATCATCTTGTGGACGGCGCACTTGAACTCGTCAAGCGTCATTACACCAGAGGCATCGGAATAGCATGCAAACGTGAAGCGTCCAACCCATTCGAAAAGGAGGAAGAACGAGGGTCGCTGCAAGTCGTGGAAGGACACCTCCAAGAGCATAGGGACGTAGAGGCTACAGTGCAAGAGCCTTCTAAGGGAAGGGTCGGAGGGGAAGGGAAGGGAAGGGAAGGCGGATGTGGAGGAGCTAGCCAACAAGCTACGTTTTGACACCGACACGGAGGCCGCGAGTACGCTACCTCCCAGTGCCCTCAAGCCCCGCCATTCTTTGAACTTCCGGACCGGAGGCATTCGCATCTCGCGCACAGCTGCAAAGAGCTCTGAAGCGGTCAGCAGCTCGCGAGACGAGTCGAAGGCCACAATCCTGGGCCCGCGACTACTTTGAGCCTGAGAGTAACAGATCCCGGACAGGCCTTCATGGTGGCCTTGCCGGGTGCTTGAATGAGGGTTCCATGGTCGTGGAGTACTGCCGAGATCCCCACCAGCACCAGCAAACATTTGTCACTGCTAGCATGTCACGTTCAATTGCATGATAGTCTATTCCCATTAGATCTTGACAAATATTGCTCGTATTCCTAGCACTGCCACGAATGCTAGTCGTACTACTACCGCTGATCTAACAAGTACCGCCAACAAGACAGTTGCCAGTGGTCGCTTGCCGCTACACCGACCACTGCTATGCTGCGGTGAATACTGCTGCCTTCCCTAGTGCCAATTCTTCGTGTGCTATTTACTACCGCTGATATCTCTTCTGCAACTTCTCCACCTCCGAATGCTACTGCTATCAACCACCACCAAAATCACAACCAACACGACCACGACCACGACCACTACTGCTGCTGAATGTTGCCACGATGCCCGAGCAAGTCCTGCTCCAGTGAAGCTCGCTCTTCCTGTCCAATGGGTGACCGTGAACTGACGTAGGGGCAGATGACGAGCCCGAAGACTGTCAAGCCGACGCCACCGGTGACGGTGCCTCAGATCCATCTGTGGGGGAACAGGCGCAGCAACGTGCAATAAAACCACGCACCACAGGTCCTTACTGCGAGCTGCCGGGGCACACGCGCCTCGCATGCCTCGCAGACCCGTCCGCAGGATGTACGCAGCCATACCCGAGCCCGAGCTGGGTGCCTTCGGTGCGCTCGCTACCGTGGATGCGCCCTTGGAAAACCGCGGCGGTTGCAGCACCAGCCGCCGAGCGCCCAAGAGGAGCCGCACCTTGAAAGCCATGGCTGCAGGCTGCAAGCTCCACCTGTGAAGCCCAAGTTTGTCTGATCCGTTGACTCAGGCTGATCCGGTGTCATTTCCTTTCGAAAATATTAACTACACATTAAGAAATGAAGCTGCAAGCAGTGCTTGCTGAGCCAGCTGCAGGCACTGCCGCATTCCGCATCCACCTAAACAAGACATCACTGTCTCTTCCTCTCATGCAACATGTCGGGAAGGCAACGTAGTTGCCGTAGGTGTTGGTGCACATGGCGTAGATGACCTCTGGCCTGCGAACCCAAAGAAATACCAACCGGCACAGGCCGTGAGTGAGTTTCACCAACAAGACGCGGCATGTCTCCAGTCTCACTTCGAAACCCGGCAGACAATGAGCACTGCGGCCTCTCCAGCACCATTCGCATCAGCAAGTTGCGCTCCTGCGAGATGGCCAGGGAGGTTTCTAACAGACTGTTGAACTGCCCAGCTCCTGCTGGATCAGTGGGTCGTCCGCATTCTCACCCACAGTCGCCGCCTCGAAGCACTTCTCGACCACCTAGGCACGGAAGCCATCCGCATTAAGAATTCAGCCCCTCTCGAAAGGCCAAGCCGCATTGCTGGAGAACTTTTCCTTCGAGAAATCGGCAATGTTTGCCCGGATCGTCTCAATAATTCCTCGGCACTTCATGCTCACGGGCTAGGTTTTCAGGCATCATGGGCGGACCTGAACTTCTAGATCGAAGGTCCATGTGAAGGTCAGTCGACACACTGGAGCTTACCCATGAGTCTGACGCCAGGAAGAGCCCAAGAGATGCAGGTCCTATGCACCACTGCAACACCGACACTATCTACAATTGCAGTGCTTCCTCAGTTAGTTTAGCGAGTGAGTGAGCAAGGGGGGGGGGGGTAGTGGAGCCGCACCGTCCAGGCTTCTTAGCTCGCTCCGAAATAGCCCCTTCCACCGGAAGTTCACAACTGGCACCCTGTGGAGCTCAGAAGACTGCATTGGTTGAGGGGTGAGCCTCAATCGCAAGCAGGGTCCTTGTCAGAACCAACAACCCATCCAGGGCAAGACATGCTCAAGAAAACTGTGCCCTCAGAGTGGAAGCCTGAATCTGCCGGCGAAACCTCCGGTCCCTTCCGATCCCGAGGTTTTCACGCAGACCAAGATTCGTTTCTTGTCTTCCTTGCGGCCGTGCTCCAGCATGTGCTGCACAACCTGCACTCTGCACTTGGGAGGTTGCACGTTGGAAGACATCTCCTCTGTCGAAGTGGCTGAGCGCAAAGCATAATTGCCATAAGCATCCTTTGCCAGCACAGCCACATTCACGAGGATTTTCTCCAACCTGGGCTGCGGCCAGTGAAGTCGTGATGAAATACTAGTCCCATACAGCCGTTAAAGCCTACTCCATTCCGACTCCATTCCTACTATCCCCTTATCAAGCCGTTATGCTTTTGGCACCTGCAGCTCAAGACATTATGCTGGAAGCACGGCCCCCCAACACAAAGCGTCTGGGCCAGATTGTTCACGGGAGTAGGGCGATCTTCTGCGCCCCAGACACTATGCTTTGCTGCATGGTTAGTAAGGTGTTCTTGGCTTTCTAGGTAGCGAAACCTGCATGATCACACGATCTGACGGTGATCATGGCAACATAGGCCAACAGGGCTTCTGAATCTGTACCACTAGGTGGGGATGCGGGGCTGCGCGAAAAGACGCTATCTTCTGGCAATCCGACAAAACGAGCACGTCCACAGTAGCAGTTGCAGCAAATACATTGGATTACCGTTAGAAATCCCACGCTGTTCATATTTGTTACGAGCTGCATTGGCTCCAGCTGTGCTGATACGCAGTGTTCGAGAAGACGCTGAATCACACGACAACCGTACCTGGGTCAGGAGGCACAAAGGCAGAGGCCGAGTGAAGGAATTGAGAAGTACACAGCCAGGCGGAAGCACAGCAGGTTACTCATGATCAAGGCTGAGGGTTGGACACATGCCGTGCGGTCTCTTCTGCCTTCTGCTCCACCTAACCCGAAGAATAAACAGCCAGAATGTCTCTCCAGCGCAGACTGCGACTTTGGTGATGGTCAATCCTTGGGCCGGCACCGCTTTGATTACGAAGTTAACGGAGTCCGGTGGCATCTGCTCGATGCATTTCTGGATCACCTCATCACAATGCAAATGCCTCGCAGCTCTTGTGGCATAACCTCTGAAGAGTCACCTATCATCGATACTCCAGAAAGCTCTGAATCTTTACTTTCCGTTCAATAGGATCGAAATCTACTTAACGGCTCGGGATAGGTTTGTGCTAGAGGCTGCGGAAGTGCCCGGCTCACGGAGGTAGAAATCAACAGCAAAGCACGTTTGGACACCACTCCACACTTCCTGCCAAGGTGCGTGATTTCCATGCATGTTCCTGCAAGCATATGGCTTGAAGGTTGGTTAGGACCCAACAGCTTCGTGCAGATTTGAGTCTCTGTTTTGAGGTCTGTGCTTCATCTCTTCCACTATTTCGCTGTCTTGGAAGAATCATCTTCGAAATGGATTTCCATTGGTATTGCGAGTAGCAGTACTACTGCTACGAGTATTACTTTTACTATAACTGTTACTATTCAGGCTCTTGCTATCACTAGAACCAGATTTTCTAAAGCGACCCGCACCGACGGAAGCTTACCCTAGCTCACCCTAGACAAAAGCAAACATGAGGGGATTGAAAAAAGGGACCCTGACATTCCCACAGTCGGAAATTGTCGCTGCTCCACAGCGTTTCACAGCGTTTGCTACTGGCGAACTGTCCTGATGCAGGACTCCACGTGATCCTCCAACTCCCGCGCAATCTGCTGCTGGGACTCTTTGGAGACTGCTTGGATCGCCTGAGCCAGTTCGGGCGTGGAGGCTACTCTTGGACATCCCCCACATTCTTCCGGGGTGCCTTCTGGATGACACGGCAGCCATACTGGTCTTGTGACAGCGTGGCGACATTATCCGCCAGCGCTCGCACCAAGGCCTGCCGAGGAGATCCTACAGGCTTACGCCAGCTGTTGCAGTCGCTACCGTCAACATCCGTCAACACTCGGAATCGTCAAAACCGGGTCGGCTCTCAGAGGCGTTCTGCAAGCTCCAGCCTTCTTCTGCCTCAGCGCTGACGGGCATGAAGCTTGCATCGAATCCGGTCAAATTTGGGCTAGTTCCCTCTTCGTCACGTGACAGACTCAGCAAACGTAGGCTCACCTCCAACATCCTGCAACCGATTCAAACACCGAGTGGAGTGCTCCGTGTCTGCCGTGTCAAAGATCTTCTGGACCTGCAGCAGTACGAACAATCAACCCAGTGAACAGGCTCTTTGGCTGTGGAACCGCAACATCCGTTTCTCCAGCAAGCACGTACTTTTGTGCAATGCCGCAATCGTGACTCAAGGACTTGTTGCGGTAAGGCGACCATCATCATGCCACTGTCAGTTTGCTCAACCGGCTGGCTTCAAGCTATTCGGAGTTCCTTCCCGCCTGCTGAAAGGTGTCAGGTCTGTACTCTCCAAGCGGCATGGCTACACTTCACATACTTGTCTTCGGGGTATGCTAATGTTACTACTGGTGCTCGTGGCTGATGACGATGTTGATGAGGAGGAGGACCAGGACAAGGACGACGACCATGATGACGACGATGCCGATGGTGCTGCTGCTGCTGCTGCTGCTGCTGCTGCTGATGATGATGATGATGATGTCTACAATGATGAGGATGCTGTGAGGAGCAGCGATGTTACACGATGTGCCACGCCCTGCTAGAGTGTTACATGGTATGAGATGATCTCGACGAGACGACATGATGCGAAGAGAGGCCCCTGGGTTGTGAAGCGGTGTGATGTGATGTGACTCGGTGCAAAGATCAGTTGATGCCACGATGCCATGGCTTGATGTTAAGATGGCGTGCTGACACTGAGCAGATGGGGGCGAGCTAACGATGAAGCTTGCAACGAAAAACAAACAGGAGGGACCAAATTGCACTACCAGGATGCAGGCATATCCTAAGTCCTCGTCCTAACGAACTCACTGAGGATCCCTGCCACATGATTAGCGAAAACTTCCTTCGACAGCTCTGCAGCGTCTTCCTGGATCGCCTGTCCACTGGTTCTGTGATTCAAGCTCAAACAACGATGCTTATGAAAATCCCGATCACAAGTGGGAGAGTGAAGGAAGACGAACAAAATTTTGCATTTAGGCTAGCAGTCACACTGTCTCTTCTTGTGCACACTCTTTGAACCATGCCCGGCGGGCCGCGTAGACCATCCGCTTGACATCGTCGGGTGCCTTCCGGGCACAGGCATCCGAAGAGTCAGGCTTTCTGTGCGGAATGGTTGATATATGTCAAAGGCGTTCTCCAACAGCTTCAAGCATGTCAAAATCCAGATAACGCCTCATCCAACTTTGTCTGGAGGAACCGACTGCCGTGCTGATCCTGCCAGGCAGAGGACAGCAAATTGAGCTGGGGCGCTGGACAAACAGTCCTTCGCGAACTCGACGACCAATTTCTCGCTCAACACCTCTTCGAGGGAGACGTCACGCTGCCTTCGCCGAACCTTGCACAGGCATGATTTCCACTTGTCGAAACGAGAAGTCAGTGCGGACTTGGGCAAAGGAGAGAGGGGGTCGAACCAGAAGCACGAGAGCCAGAGGGAAGAGACGTATGTCACAGGGGAGAAGGCCAAGGTGTGATCAGACAGTCTGAGCTGGGATGCGCTGGCCAACTGGCCAATTACAAAACCAGCAGAGCATGACACGAGTTGTAAAGCGGGGTGCTTGTTCCGCCTGGTTCAGCAGGAGGCTGAGATTCGCGTCGTCTTCGATTGCAGCACTTGGCTCATCCTGCGGCAAAGGCGAAGTACAGTACCAGCGTTGCTAGGCTAGCGGGCACTGGTGGGAATACAGCCCTCTTTGCACGGATTATTGCTGCTGCACTCCAGGCTGCATAGCTTCTCTCACAATCTTTCTTGGACAGCCCTGCATGCGCTTGGCCACAGCTTCCTACGGCCCCTTGCAGAATTCACTCATCAACGACCGCGGTCCTTGGAGTTCTTGCCCTGAGCACAACATGCAGCGGGTCAGTACCCTGGTTCGCTATTCGCTCATGGGAGCTGTACAAGTGGAGCGCTTCCTTCCACCTTTCACTTTCTACAGCATTTCCCACAATTGTCACATGCGGTTCACCGGCCAGGAACTCTACTACGTAGTCTCATTGTTGATGGGATCCTCGTGTTTGATCTGCCAAGCCCTACAGCAAGCACAGCTCACAAAGGCGGCGCCTTAGTCCGCCTCTTGCCTTTCGTCTCCCGCTGGTTCTTTCCTCCTGGAGAACAACGCGGGGCGGCGGTGCGTTGAGCACGTTGAGCGGTTCAAGGCTCAAGCGGCGCAAGCGGGCCCTCGCTTCTCCTCCTCCGGCAGCCTCCTGGGGCTTGTTGCGAGACTTCGCCTCGAGCCGCGCTATGCCGCGCTCTCGGAGGTGAATGGAGGTCTGAGCATCTGAACCGTCCGAAGGGTCCCGACATTCTTTGATGATGCAGGAGTCTGCCTCAGCGGAGCAGCAAAATGCTTGGCTCAGCTGCTAAAGCTGGCTTCAACTGCTTTGCGATGTTCCTCAATCCTTCCTTTCCTAAATCTTTGCATAGTCATAGTCTTGCGATTCCAGTAAGCTTAAAGAAGCTGAGCCAGGCTAAGAATGTAATGTCTGAAGAGATGCCCGTAGCCGTGCCAACCAAGGCGCTCAGGCATCGAAGGCACAGGTGGCATTCCAGGAAACATCGGCATGGCAGGCATCCCTGTTTCAAGCGAGCATAGCGAAGTACGAAAGACACGGTCCAGCGAGCCTGGGTACATGTTGGGAGGCGGCATCATGGTATAGGGCTGGGGTGGGTACCTTACAAGCAAGCTCGACTTTGGGAGATGCCTGTTCTGTGCCGATGCGGTCTTGTAAGGTCGAGACGGAATGTATGCATTGTAGCCAGCCGGGGGCGGGGGACCAGGCGTGTAGGGAAGCGGCATTCCCGCGTAGGGGTTGGGATACCCCCCGAACCTGAGCGCAGTGACATCCGCCTGCTCTCAGCTTCCCAGGCTTCAAGTGGAAAAGTGCCACGTTCCGCCCATGCTTCTTCCAAGCAGCGCTCCGAGATCTGGCGGAAGTGCCTCCAGCGGTGCAGTGCATTGCAGGCTGTCCCCCACAGCCCCGCCGCTGCGAAGCCTGATGAGGTGGCGGAGCCCATCCAGCGGCCGGTCCGGACTGCGCATGTGGTGTCCTAGGTCTGACTGGCAGTAAAGCCAGTAAGGGACTGTGCTGCTCACGAAAGCCGGGAAAGCTTGAGGCTTGGCTGATTCTTCCGCTGGTTGCGTTGCCCACGACCATGACCTTTCCTCTGCCCCTGGGAGAAGGGCACGATTGATTCACTTCAGCTTCCAGCGGAACCGTGTTTGCAAGCCTCATCTCCCGTGAACATGGACGACTGAATCTTCTTCGGCGAATCACCGTCCTGCCCAGCGGAAGAGCGGGAGAGGGGGAGAGGGGGAGAGCAGGAGAGGGGGAGAGGGAGAGGGGGAGGGAGGGGAGGGAGACAGAGAGCGAGAGCAAGAGCGAGAGCGAGATCGAAATGAGAACAGGTCAGATATAGCTTAGATTGGGGTCGGCGGAAAAGATAAAGTAAGGTTTGACAAGATCAGACAAGACTACATAAGACTAGATAAGATGAGATAAGATACGAGTAGATTCCAAATGCGGATTATAAGGGGTTAGATTAGACAATATTAGAAAAGGCTAGACCAGCCTAGATAAGATTAGGAAAGACTAGATAAGATAAGAAAGGTTAGATAAGAGTCGACCGGGTTAGACACGACTGGATCGGACTAAATAAGGGATAGGTAGGTAGGTAGGTAGGTAGGTAGGTAGGCAGGTAGGTAGGCAGGTAGGTAGGTGGGTAGGTCGGTAGGTAGGTCGGTAGGTCGGTAGGTCGGTAGGTCGGTAGGTAGGTAGGTAGGTAGGTAGGTAGGTAGGTATGCTCACATCTACGTGTATGTGCATATATATATATATATGTACATACACGGCCCCC